AAGATCTAGAAAAATACCAACAAACCGCTGATGTTAGCACAGTTTAAGTGGTGCCAGAGCATGTATTTCACTGACCTTCATCTCCTGAACCTCTGCCAGACAGGGAGGACAAAAATGGAATGGCTTGAACTCTGCCATGAGTGGGTTTAGTGATTTATCTCTCCATAGACTATGAAATTGGTTCTTACATTTACAAAATTATTTTGCCTGGTTAATAGGTACCTTGCAACCCATATAGAAGGGGGAAGGGAACAGAAGGAGAATTTGAGATGTAGCATGTAGGGAAGGGAGATCAAGCTGTTGCTTATTATCTCCTCATTCCCTCCTTTGCATCGGTCCTCATATTGGTACTAATATGACCCTTTGATGAGCCTGTTCTACTCAGTGAGTCAGCAGAGAACTTACCCAGCAAAATAAAGTTTTCTGCTGGCTTAGTGAGCTGAATTCATCACTGAAGTGTCAGAAGAACACCAGAGCTGGAGCAAGGGAGGCAGTGGAGCTAGGAGGCCACATAAGGAGGAGAGGGAAACAGAATCACCCCTTTTGGCAGCACCAATGAATTGGATCACTCCAGCCTGTCTCATCTGATTGCAGCCTTACAGAACCATTGTGGTAATACTGCAAATAAAGCTTTAATAGCAACTGTAGTAGCTGTGAATTTCAAAATGAAACAGAAAGCCATTTGAAACCGGAAACTGAAGACTGTAGACTTCATATAGCCATCCTGAAAAATACCCAGTTGAGGCTTTCAGTAGGAAGGGTCAGGTGAAACACGTAAGAAAAGAACCAACCCAGCTGACCTGTTACACAGGTTCACTGAAGCCACAAGTCATCCATTCTGAATCCTATCTCTCTGCCATTCATCAGTAGTTAGGTAAGTGTTGTTTTGTGGTATGATTATTGTCACTTGAGCTAGCTAGAATGGAGCATGCTGCCTTGTACCATTACAGTGAGGTCTCCCATCAAACCATAAACAGACAACAAGAGAAAAGGGAGGAGGTTGTCTGCACAGAAAATGCTGCAGCCTGGAGCATCCAATGGTTAGCCAATATAAGGAGTGCTGGGCTTTCCCATGCTCCCTGTCCATGTACCTTCCCTGTAACTAACAGTACAGTGAGCTTGAATCCCAATTTAATACAAACTTCCAGTTACTTGTTACCCTCTGGTGACATCTCGTGGATCAAAGCAAGATATCCCTGCCTGCTGGCAAACCCTGCAAAGCCTCGAGTGTCTGAACCTGCAGAGTGCAAGTCTCTTTCCCAAGTCTAAGGAACTCTATAGCATCTGACAAGGTTTAGCTTTTCTTTATTTTTTCCTTCCTTTCCTGCTCAGTGCAAATGAGCACTGTACCAACAAGCCCCCTGCAAAGAACTGAAAATAGAGGTAAGCAGGAAAAAAGCAAATGAGAAACCAGAGCACAGAAACTGAGAAAAGAGGAGAGTAGTCAATAAATTTCATTAACTGTATTGTCTAGTAATAAAACAGATTCTAATGTCTAGAGCTGAGTATAAGCAAGTGTTGAGCAATTAGGATTTCATAGCTGAAGTCAAGAGGAACCTATGCACTGCTTGCCACAGTGGCAGGAGCAAGCAAATAATCAGCATCACATTATCATAGCTCATTGCACCCTGCAAATATTAAGCAACTAACCCTCCCAGTATGCCTGTGGGCATTCACAGGGACTGGAACTAAAGACTTAGCTCAGATTTGAGTTGCGACAGTAAGAAATGGAAAAGTTAGTAATACATTGCTAAAAATATTAATCGATTTTGGATGGTTAATTTTGGAGCCTCCATTTCAAAATACTTAGGCATTCATCATATAAGTTAAATTTATATAAGTTTATTACATAAGTTAATTATGTACGTTTAAATTATAGCCTCATAATATAGGAAAAAAATCACTTCTACATAACAAGAAATACAGTCCCTTGTGACCTCTGCAGGTACCTTGAAATTCGATCCACCCCCCATGGGGGATATTGATGCAGAGAAAAGAAAGAGTTCCATGAATGTCAGCTATCATGGAGCTATAGTAGAAAGGTATCTGCTTTTCAAGTGCTTCCACAAAGCATTAGGAGACTGAAAGCTGGAAATGAGGAGACTATGGAAACGGAGCATACATGGGAAGTCATAAACTCATTAACTGAACACCCACTGAAACCACAGCGAGCAGCTGGGAGCAGCATCTTTTCGCCACTCAGCCTATGACTGTGCAGGCTCTGAAGGGGTGCTCAGGCAGTGCCAAACATCGGCAAGAGGCCTTCTGCAGAGCCAGGTCCCATGGCCAACACCCAGCACAGGACAGCACTGCCGACTGACCACGGTGGGCCAAGCCCTTGGCCAGTTTCTAGCACAGGCTCAAGCACGCGTGCCTCTTGTAACACTAAACAAGTGTCAACCTGTCATAGGAAGCTCCATCAGCTCTCTCCAAAAAATCTGCATTTAGAGTAGCTAATTGGAAAAAAAAGGAAAGATAAGGTATTAAATAGGGTTTCCAAACTATAAAACCTAGCAAACAACTAAGTCAATAAAAAAGCACTCCTTGTCCCTAGGCTAACAATATTTAAATTGATACTTGGTTCAGCAAAAATACTGAAGCTTACATACTTCAATTTCTAGCCAAAGTGACAGCTGTTCAAGCAAAAATATCAACATACCCTATGGCAATCCATAACATTAGTCAAGCACAAAATAACCTGCCTGGATTAGTAATTTACTCACAAAAATAACTTAAAAAACAGAAAAGCACCAGCCACTTCTAAGTCACACCACATCGTATGTGACACATTTCATGATATATTAACCTCAAACAACATATGAATTAGCAGTTGATTACCTATTAAAACTGCTATGGCAATGAGAAATACTTGAACAAACAAAACTGTATCTAGCAGTGGACTAACACACCTTCACCCCTTGGGATTACTGAAGAAAAACAGATTGTCCCAGTGTGCAGCAAAAACTAATTCCTAACAGGGCTTTGCTTTGTATGGTTTTAGAGAACAAAACAAACCTTAGTGCTACCTCAAAAGTATCAGAAGGAACACTATAGACATAGGTAGCTAGGGCTTGGTAAATGTTAGAGAAAATAACAGGAACTGAGGAAGTGCAGTTTGTTTCAAATTTGGAGGCTATCCAAATGCCTAGTAATGCTGACATAATTACTGCTTAAACTGCTGAATTCTAGTTGCCATTGCTAGATTAAGCATCGGTAAATATTGCCTCTGAAATTTAACTGTCTCAGCAAGCTAGCTAGCTCATCACTGAAATCTTTGTAGAGCTGAAAACCTTTATGAGGAGCCTGTAATTAGAGGACAGTGGGAAAGGTTTATCTCAAGGAATAGCTTAGAAGAACGATGTATTGTGAAAAAGCTGGCCAGCAAAACAAGTATTTGTTGTGTGGAAACTTACAAGTTTTTTAAAAAATTAGTCCTGAATAATAAGGCAGCCAAAGGTCCTTCAAAATGTCACTGGAGCACACTCATGATCAATTAACCTGAGGCTTTTAGCTCTCCAGGCTGCTGATTGCAATTCCCTACTAAAGTTACAGATCTAATGCCACTGCCCATGTGAGAAAGTCAGAGATGTAACTGAAGAAGAAAAGGTTACATAGGAAAACTCTTCTTCAGAAAGCCCATTGCAGGACCACAGCACAATACTGCTACACCGTCTTCTGAGCAAGAGGCTGGAATTAGTTACGGTAGTTCAGCAACGCTTTGGAAAGACTGGCTGTGAACATAGCCAATAGGGTGTACTAATTTCTCGTACTTCTCCCAGTCAGTTACCATCAGATAAAGAAGCTTTCAAAAATATTCTGTAGCTTTTACACCTCTGAAGTAACTCTTAAAAAAACTACCTGAGGCACCAGTTTGAAACAGTAGCTCTCTTACAGAAGAACTGTAAAAAACCTCTAATTTGTCCAAATGCTAAAGCCTAATGATACTCAAAATTTACCTTAGACATTAACCAGTTAATTTTCACCTGCGCTAGCTCCCTGAACCAGCTCCTCACTCAGTCCCATGAGTTCTAACACTGGCTCATGGGGAGGAGTATGTGAGCAGGAAAGGCAACACTGGCTGTTGGCCACTTGCAACCCACTGGGTCCAGTTTCAACTGCAGAAGCTGCCTGGGAGGTCTGACCACAGCTAAACTAACTGGACAGCTCTGCTCCCTCCCACCCTGCTTGAACATCCAGCACTTGCGTTGCATTAGAGCTAGCCACAGCTCACCTAACAGCAAAGTGAACTTAATCTGGCAAGGGAAACAAAGTCTGCAGTGAAAAAAGAAGTTTCCTGACAGATCAATGACCTGAATCAACTCACCTTGTGGTGAGAAGTATCAGATTTGCCATAGAAGGGGAGCAGAAAACTGTGAAGAAGAGGGCAGGAAACTGTCCCCTTGGTGGCACTTAGCAAAATATAAAATTAAAAATAATTTAAGAAAGAAAGAAAAAGCAGTCCTTATTCACAGTAATGGCTGCTTAAACTTCACCAAGAAAAGCACTGTGTTCTGGTCGCTGGGTCCAGTCAGAAGGGTGAAATTCCTGGAGTTTCCTTCAAGGTTGTCTGAGCAACTAATGTGTCTCTTAGCCTTGGACAAGGGCAAGACAGCGAGACTGAGACTGTAAATTCCTTTTGTGCATCTCGAATACTAATAGCTGTAGGTTTTTTTAATTAAAAAAAAAATTAAGTCACACCCCAAATTTTCAGTTGGCTCGGCTACTATTTACCTAGTAGACTATTTACCACCCAGTGAGGAATAGCACCAGGGCTAGTACCAGAGGAGGGCAGGAACATGTTCCCCAGGGCAGCTCACCACTTAATCTGCCAGGAAGCCTCATCCTAAATTTCTCCCAGTGTGACCCTTGACTAGGCTTGGCTGCCTTTGCCACTGGTGACTGCAGCCTCAAAAGGGGACGCGCGGATGGCCGTATCCCATGCAGAACGCATTCAGGCTCTAAGAAAGGCACCGGTCCCGACTGCAACAAAAGAGGCCAACCTTCTGCCCTGAATCTGCATGCCCCTTCTGCTGCCCCGCTGGGCCCAGCTTCCGACGCGGCACGCAGGCAGGGAGCCCGCAAGCACCTGCCAGGCTGCGACTCCGCCTTGGCACGCACCACCTGCCGCGCTTCGATTCCCTACGGCGGTCATCAGGCCGGGCCTCTACGCCGGGGGTAGGCTGGAGCGGAGGGACGCTTTCTTCTGATTGCATCCCCTCCTCCAAAGACGAATTTGGGGATTTGAGAAGTTGCTTCAGACCAGACGAAAGGATAAGGTTTCCAAGTAATTTGCACCGTGTTTTCATTTTCAGCTCATGTACAAGATGTGGGCGTTGAGCTTTGATACCTTGTTAACTATTTCATAGAATCATAGAACGGTTTGGGTTGGAAGGGACCTTTTGGTAAGGGTAACAAAGACCTAGAAATAAAATAGCCCTCCGTCATAAACATGATTAATTCACAGTTACGTTCACACAAATGTCCAAATTAGAAATAAACAAAGTAATGTAGCAGAATCCTCTTGCTGCAGCTGGACAGCGACTTAGACGCATGAAGGTGGTTGCAGTCTATATAAAAGCTTTTGTCAGGTTTCAGTTCAAAGAAAAAGGCATGAACCCATGTAGACAAACCATATTCCTTTTCCATAGAAGAGACTTTGACACATTCATATGTTTTAAATGGAGAGCTACATTCTGTTCCGTATAGAACAGAGACCTTATTTCATGCCCAGTCCTTTGTATATATTTGTATGTATATGCATGCATGCAGTATGAGTGACTAACCATATGGGAAGTCAGAGATACTCTCTTTATCTGCCTAGACTTAACAACTTCTACATGAATATGTACTCTCTTTCAGCTTAGATAGTTCAACTTATTCGTCTATTGTATGTAACTGAAGTATTTTATATGCCCCTAAACTTTAGAAGTTCAGATGAAATATTCTCCTTTTGTGATAAATGTCTGCCTCACTGAGAATAAATTCTGTGCAATCTCGGAACTCTCAAAATTAATCAATATTGGAGTTACTAGCATATGTGGGAAAAGCTTTTGTGTGGGATAGGAAATATTTTTCCTCCTTCTATAACATGCATCAAATTTTCTTAAAAGGCCTTCTGCTCTGAGGAAAGAAAAAAAAGTAAAAAAAATTGAGCCTCATTCATAAAAATGTGCTACATGCTTGACTCCACTAGTGATTGCTGGACATCAGGAGAGGAAAGAAGTCTAGGTCTTTTCTGTTGGACCTTGATTCTTTCTGTCCTTAAGTTTCATCCTTTATTATCTCGCTACTCGATGCAGAAGATAAATATTGCCTCATCAGAACTCACCATCACATGAGATCCTGTGTGTGTGCTTTCACAGATAAGGTCCTGAAAAGAAATATGCCGAATTCATTAGTATAGTTTATGTGTCATTGAAGTTACTTATACCTACAGTAAAATATGGATTTCAAAGTTTGTTGGAGGGTTGTTTATCTCAGTGAAAGTTTATTGGGGGTTATTTATCGCTAAGGTGCCAGCTTATTAGATACTTGCATAAGAGGCCTTATTTTATCTCCTTCATGCCTGATAGTGTCTCAGGAGCACTCCTCCCACCCAGGTTTAGTCTTTGTGCAGTCCAATATCTGTGCAGTGCTGGAAAGCATAGGTGCAATGTAGGAAGACAGGCCAGGCTCTGCTAACATTTTGAGGTTTCCTTACCTGTTCACTAAAAGAAGCCTTCATTAGATTTTCTCTGAGTAGCTTGGTGGCTAAAGGGCACCCATGGTAATCCCAGGATGTTTTTTGGGCCAAAGTTACAGCAGAAGTACAAAATTGTTTGATGGAGAATTCCAGAGTCTGCCAGACTTGAAAAGGTAATGCTTTTAATAAATTTTTGTGCAATTGAGACAAACTTTTGATGTGGATCTTGGCTTTATCTAGTCAGTTAGTGTGGAGATATAATTTCCAGTAATAGATGTAGCTTTCAGTATTAAATTGCCTCAGAGATTTGTTGATTTAATATTTAATTTATTCCTTGCTTTGAAATAAAATAGAAGTGGTAAAAAATAAATTACATGTTATGGAAAGTTTTATATTATGATGTTTCAGTGAAATTGGTGTTGAGGATTCTTTTTAAATCTTGTGGATTATCTATTCAAGTAAAAGTGCCCGTCAGTTGGAAGGCTTTTAGTCTGGATTCCTGAAGAAACAAGGTTCATACAATTGCACCAGCTGTCTGGTCATCCTCACTTCATTCTATTATGCAGCTTCTTAAGGAAATAAAAGTCTCAGGGACGACTACATTCTTTCCAAATTGGTTGAAACTGGCAGTGGGTAGAGGAGAGAGACCTGCATTACTGCTTCAATAAGAGAAAGGCAGACAGGACTTGATCATGCAGGGAGTTAGTCTACTCATTGCACATAAATGAAATCATGCGCTCATGTTGGTTGGAGATACCAGAGGGAATACGAGGAGAACCGGGATTAATCAAGACATGCAGGAGACAGGCATCAGAAGAGACAGAGCACAACTATCCACGAGTCCAGGCTTCAGTAGTACCACTACTTACTGAGCAAGTCACTCTTCATTCTGCTTTTCAAGTGTTTCTTCCATTTGTGTTGGGACTTGAGAAAGATGAGGTTCAACATAGTGGTGATTTAAGCAGCACCTAACTTTGTGGGGGCACTTGCCAGGTGAGGCATTTCCCCACGGTGGAAAGGGAATGTAGCAACATGGAGCTGGTGATGCCAGCTGTACTCTCCCTCAGAGTCCCACAGGGTCTGCAGGCAAGGGGAAGTGTGCTTGGATTGCTCCTCTGCAGTTCTGTTCCTGCTGCAGAAAACCAGATCAAATCAAATCAATCCCAGTTCTGTGGGGAGGCACTGTTCCTCTTCAGTCCTTTTTACCAGATTCTGAACATGAATTTCTGCAACAGCAGCTAAACACAAAAGCTGCTGAGCCAAAGTTGATGCACTGATAGTATAGTTCACAAAGTACAGAATTTTCTTATAATACTTTTTTCTCTCCTCTTTAAGAACTGAAGGAATCTGTTGAAGAAATACTGCCATTCTTGAAGAAAGAAAATGTTAAAGTTTATTATTTAAGTAAGACATCTGCTACAGAAGGAGTTGAGAGCTTTCTTGATAAAGTAGATGCTGCTTCAGATGAGCCTACTCCGTTGTCTTGGAGATCAGATATAACCTTTAATACTCCTGCCATGTACATTTATACTTCTGGTACTACAGGTAACGTATAAATTCACAAAAACTATGTGGAAGGCCACACATTCTTACTGACATTATGATTTTTTAAGTAAGGAAAGAGAATCTGTGACTTCACATTAGTTCCTACTCTCATTCATTCCCCCTCAGAAAACTGAAAATCTGATATCTGTATCTAAAACCAAAAAGCAGGTTGAACATCAGCTGACTTTAAGCACTAAATGTGGGGGGAGGTACTGAAGTAAAAGCCTATTAAACATACACATTTTATGCCAGTCAGGTCACTAGACAGCTGCTATCTTTTATCCCTGGAGACACTGCTGGCCTAGGTACGTGTCTTGGCACCCACCTTATACTCAGTATCTTTGGATCGTGAACTCTAAATGCTGACCATTAAGTTTTTGGGTGTCGGAGTACCAAAAATAGTGAGGGCAGCACAAAATACAACTAGTCATGGCCACTGTGCAAAACTGCAGCTGGTATAGGAGCTGCAGCCTGCTCTACATAAAGGCATCTAGCGTTAGGAGCACTAAGCCACAGCAGAAACTGGGTGACAAGGATGAAGATGAAGACAACACCTAAAGACACTCAAACCTCTAGCTTCATTAAGAAGAGCAGGGTATGCCTCCACACTAGCTCAGTCTTTGAGCCTCTTAGGGCAGGAACTCCCCTGGAAGGGAAGAAGTAAAAATTTGAATCCTGTTTGGGCTGCAGGAGGCAAATAACTCCGGTGTCCATCATCCTTGTTAAGGGTTCTGACATCTCTTTTCTTACAGAATAGGCAAGCACTACCATAATTTTGTCTTCTAGCATCTGTTTCAGCCAGTAATCAGTTCAACTGTATCTGATGGGAAACCAAGAAAAGATTCTGTAGGGGGAATTCCAGTTTCGTCTAGGATGATTCAGAGCTGCAAGGAGACACCTAATTCCAGGAGAGATGCAAGATCCGAGATTAACCTGTTTTTTAGCACTTCTATTCCCTTTGCTCAGCATGCTAGATTCTCCAAATCCCATTTCCTCATACTCTAGGTACTTGCTATTCCTAGGTACCATAGTATTGGGAATTTGGGTGCTTAACAGGGGGGTCAATCACCTAAAAGTTACATGTGGGAAGACATATCCTCACTAAGGCTAAACACCAGTGTGTTGCATAGACACAAGCTGCATACCTCCCTGAACTCTGAAGCTGTCACTTGCATCAGTGAACAAGAGAAAGTCTTTTCGTAAGCCCTTGTGAAGTCGACTGTGTTTATTGTTCGAATGAAGTTACACACCTTTTTGCTTGGCTTTAAACAGGTCTCCCCAAAGCTGCAGTGATTACCCATGAACGCATAATGCTAGCTTGTGGTTTGTTTGATGCTGGCAATGTTACCTCGGAAGATATTGTGTATACTGCTCTACCGCTCTATCATAGCTCTGCCCTCCTCGTTGGAGTCCATGGATGTATCATGAAAGGTACCGTGCACTTGTCTAGTATGAATGAATGTGTTACTGTGCAGAATTCATGCACAGATATGATCACAGATACAGTAAGCCTTTCCCTAGCTACCAAACTTCGAGATTAAATACTTGGTTGTACATGTCTCTGTTACCAGAAACTCCGTAAGTCAAGAGGCATTCTTGTTTCTCTGTCATCTTCATATCACTCACACAGATCTTTGCCCTGTACAAGTTTTATTTCATCACCTGGACAAACAGGATATATCCTATCTTACATGACAGCTCTTTGCACAGTTTTAGGGTAAATTAGTGCAGAGTTTCGTCCACAATAATAGCCTTTAACTTCTGATTAATAGAAATAAGAGTTTAAACCAATTATTCAGCATGGATTGTATTTCAATATGTTTTAGGAAGAGTACTTGCAAAAGCTATATAACCCTAATTCTACAAGTTTTCTACAATGTTGTGCTAAGAAATTCTATATGATCTTACGTTATAAGAAGAATCGTTCCTTCTGTTATTTGTTTTATTCTTTCTACACAGGTGCAACTATTGTTTTGCGTGCCAGATTTTCAGCAAGCCAGTTCTGGGATGATTGCAGGAAATATAACGTAACAGTGATACAGTATATTGGGGAAGTGCTTCGGTATCTGTGCAGTGTGCCACAGGTAACATTAACTACCTTTCTTTTTTGGCTAATTAAATTACTGGGAATATTTGTTATATTACGCTTGAAATCTAACCATAAGAGGAGAGGGAAAAATACCCCAACAAAAATCTTCCCTAATGAGGTCTGTAATCTCATTGTATACTAACATGAACTTTTTTCAAGAAAAAAAAAAAAAAAGGATCTTTTAGCTTGAATTAATGATTCTTTTGAATAGTGGAACAATGACAATCCGTTAATTGACATTCTGTTAAAATTGGTAGAGAAAACACTTACCTTATATGAGTACTCCAGCTGCAAACCAAAAATGAGGAGTTCTCTAGGAACCAGTGGACCTGTGTTTTGGGCAATGTGAGTTTTGGAGTTCTTGTAGCTAAGATGTCCTAACTCAAGGTAGTCAGGTGGTCCCCAGGTGAAAGTGTTAATGTGATTATTTAACGAGTGCCCCCTCTGAAGATGCACTTGTCATAGTGTCCTCATAGGGTACCTATTCATAGGCACTTTCCCACTGAGATCCCTGCAATCATATTAGTTAATCCTTGATTTCAAAAATGTGTTTGCATAAAATAACTTTCACAGAGGTAGGCCTAGTGAACTGCAGTTAGGTTTTAGTAAGAACAAAGGTGGTATCAGTCAGTCTATCTAGCACCGTTTGATAACTGTAAGCCAGAACAGAGAATCAGGTGCACAGTTTCTTTGTAATTTATGTATGTGTGCAAAATATCCAATATACAGAGGTTTCATTCTGGTGTCAGTTACAGAGATAAGAAATAACTTCACTAGAAATCAGTAGGATTCCTCAGGAATTGGGTATCTAAGGAAGATTCTGCTATGCTTTTTATTATTTCTTCATGAGTTGTTAGCCCAAAATGAGCAGTTAATAAAATAAAGTTTTATAATAATCAGAAGACTTAGCCTCTGGGTTGAGCCACTAGTTTTAATCAAAAAGTGTGGGTGGAGGAGATTTAAAGTGAGTTAAAGAAACTGGGCACTTGAAACATAATAGTTAAGAGTGGTGATAAGTTATACATCAGTACTGCAGTTCATGGAAAACCCCAATTAGCAAAGTACTCATCATTAGCCAATACTCAACTGGTGTAAATAAAATAGGGGAAAAAGTGAAAAACTAGATTATCTCCTTTCATACAGAATGTTTTTTAGGAAAATAAGCTTAACGAATGAGCTAATTACTCATTTTTGATAGAGTTGGGTTTCTTGATAGCATGCATGCACGCACAAATATAACTGAGTCACAGGGCATACTCTGTAAATTCCTAAATTGAACCAGTATCTCAAAGATGTGTACAGTTGCCAGCCAAGTATAAACTAGTTCCCAAATGGGGTGAGTTTGGTAATGTTAGCCACACAGAGACATATAGCTTAACCATTAAAATGACCTGTTAATCAAAAATAACGTGAATGACTGAACCTGAAGCCCACTGAATGATACTGTTGAGTAGTGTTTGAGGCTGTCTTACAGATTACTCATTATTGGTGGCTGTTTATCTACAAAGGCCAGATTTTAAGATAGACACAGATAGCTTGGCTTTCATTATTTAATATAAGGGGTTTTGTTTACTCAGTACATAGAATTCAACACCAGTGGAGAAAACACCTTTACATAAGCAAGGTTTATAAGCTTAATATCTGATCCCATGTACCCCTATGCATGCCACTTTGAGTGCACAAGTCTTCCAGAAAGATGGGATTAACATTTTAAGAATGCAAGAACTTGACAGAATGGATACTATTACTTAAACTGTCATGGTGCCAAGAGGGCTTGGCCAGTTATTGCAGATGTAACAGAGACACAGTCTTTTCCATGAGGAACTCACAGTATAAGCAAGATCCACATTGACGTAGGGTGTCATCTATCTTAACTAATGCCATTTCATTATTGAACTTCCTTATTGTGCTAGTAACTTTTATCTATGCTATCGTTTCTTTCCTTTAGATATCCACAGAAGAAAAAAACTCAATATGTGTCACAGTTTTCTTTCTGATTGTATTGCCAGCTAACTTACGTAGTCATTTCAGAACAAATGAACAGTCCAAGTATTATAGAAATCACCTTAAGTGTGAATCGTTAAGTCCTTCCTTCCTCCTTTCACTAACTGTGACTAATTAATGGCTAAGTACCAAATTTTCTTTATCTGCCTAAGCAAATGGGGAAGAAAGATTGAAAATACAGACTTAAGAACAACAAAAGATAAGGGACAATGTGGATCCAAGCAGCATCCTGTCCACAGTGAATCATTTCCAAATACAATCTTTAAGCTCAGCTGTATAAATGCGCAATCAACTGGAGTCTCTCTCATGAGAGGCTAAGGTATTGTGTATGGTGTTGTAGAGCATCATCTACAACAAACAAAGATTTTATACAAAGTGAACAGCAAGTCATTTAGACACTATGCAGAATTTTAGCAGATTTCATTGTTCTATTTTAAGCTTGGTTACATGTTAATGGCAGATCTCTCAGTATCACAGAGAGGACTATGTATTAATCTATTTCTTCTTTAGATTAAACTTAAACATCCATTTCTAGACTATTCTGCAGAAAAGCAATACTAATCCAGAACTACTATGATTGAAGTCCAAAATAAAGTTTTACAGTATTTCAAAATTGTTGCCATTTTACTGTGGCATTTTTTGGTCCTTTCTGGGAATATGACACTATAAGACCAATCCATGTTTGTCTTAATAGCCAGGTTTCTCTCTTGAATCGCTCCTTGAAAGAGCATTTTGCAATTCCAGTGTTCTGTGCTCATCTTCTACTTTGACCACCTACTGCATTGCCCTCTGCACTGTGTTTCCGGAAAGACCGAGAGCCAACATACTATTCAGCATGAATACACATTCCAGTCTGTTGCTGATAGAATAGCCTTATTCTTTCAACAAAGTATTCCAAGTTAAGAAGCCAATATATATTTAAAAAGACTCTTCGTACCTTAAAATACTATTAAATTATGTAATAAAAGAAACAGTTGGAGAAAAAGGCAGGAAATGGGACAAAAGAGACTTTCCGTATTGTGCTAAAATTCTCGCAGGCTGTTGTTACTCATTAGCACATTAGATATGTTTATGAATTACAAGTGTCTGACACAGTTCAGTACTTCCTATTGTTGAGGATAAATATAAACATCTAAGAGAAGGCATGAATGGACTGCCATCCTCGCGATGTGTTTATCGCTTTACTGTGTAAACAGAAAGATCTAATAGCACTATTAAAAGTGATATGAAATGTGGTAATACAATTTTTAGCAGGCTCAATCCTGCACTTACAGTGGCAGAAGGGATTTCCTTTCCACCCAAACACCATTTTAAATCCTGCAAACGTTTTGCTGAATTCAGGGTAAATTACACTCTTCTGCAGATAGTCATCACAAGGCTTACAAACAAAATAGTTTAACATGGTGCCTGAGTTTCATTCTGGCTTTCTGCGTAGAATTATTTGTTCCTTTCTTCATCCAAGTCAAGTTAACTACTAACTACAGTTAGATATATAGCCTAACTTGCTCAGTAATTTCTTTTCCACATCAAAATCATGAGCTTAACTGTAATGATGTTTGCACACATTTTGCTTCAGAATATGCTCAATACTTTTAAACTAAAATTTCCTTTGGAGTTTTCCAGAAGTAGAAATTCTGCTTTCACTCAGCAGAAATGTGAATTCATGACTGTTTCTTGTTTCTAGAGAAACAATGATCAGGATCACAAAGTCAGACTTGCCATAGGAAATGGAATAAGGGCTGATGTTTGGAGGGAATTTATCCGAAGATTTGGAAATATTAATATTTTGGAGTTTTATGCATCAACTGAAGGAAACATTTCTTTTGTTAATTACACTGGAAAAATTGGTGCAGTGGGAAGAGTAAACTGCCTGCAGAAGGTAAGAATTAACAACAAAACCTGGCATTTTGTCTTTGGTGAAGTTTGGTGTATTGCCAAGGGCATATACCAGGCCACTTGTCTGACAAGTTGGGAAGAACCCAAAGCTCAATTATGAATTTGTTTAGATGAGAAGATTCTCCCCAAGTAGTCTATAGCTGCCCGTGCTAGATATCACAGATACCTCTCGCTAGTTCAGGCAAAAGAACATTTAGACTCAACACATCCAGTTGAAATGTGATGAATTCGGCTCCTGTTAAACAGAAAGCTGACTATGTAGTAGAATTCTGAAAATATTTTTCAAAGATTGAATATTCACGTGTGTATACATTTTGCAAATTTTCACTAGAAAATCTTACGCTATGAACTGATTAAATATGACGTAGAGAAAGATGAACCAGTCCGAGATGAAAATGGATACTGCATAAGAGTTCCCAAAGGTAAAAACTTAACTCCTTTAAAAAATTTCAGACAGTTATTTACTTTTAAAAATTACATCTCTTTGCATCACTTCTATCTGGAAAGATGCTAAGAATTGTCATTGAGTAAGCCAGGTTTTTAAATACAAGTTAGAAAATACGTAACAAATCACATACTATTATAATACAGCTTAACAGAAAGGTAAAGTACAGTGGGGAATGCAGCATCTGTATACTTAGATTTTAATAACTTGTCTAGTTTTAATAATGGACATGCTAACATTTTTCAGTACAGATCATGACTTTCAGAGGCAGGAGCTATTTAATTCTTCTCAGACTTTGTACTTAACATGCCACTAAAGAAACATTTCCAAAATAGAAAGCAGTTCTCTTTTCCAGCAGTGGCTGAAACTTTTTGCCATTGGCAATGGAGAAAACACACATGAAAATACTTTTTTTATAATATATCTTAATATCAGTTTTCATAGGAGGGGGTTATATATTGGCACAGGCAAACCTGTGTTTAAATGAGATACTTGCGATACTTTTTTCTTTTGTTGCGTTCTGTTACATGTGACATTCTGTTACATTACTGTGAGTGAGGACAGAAACACTCACCTTCTCTGTGCATAAGGCAAAAGGTTGTTACCGACTGTGTTAAATTCTCATTGCTGAGGAACATACCAGTTATGTTCAGAGTGTCTGCCCCATAGGCATGCTCTCCTATGCCAACTGTCCCTACACAGTCTCTTGAGTTGGGATGAGGAGGGATGTGCACACATATATTCCATATTTATATAAACGCACCCAATGTGTAAGTTGCTGAACTGTAGAGACATGGAAAATCTCTGAAATGTGAGAGAGAAACCCATGAAAAAATATAAAATCCCAGGCTTGACAGGGGCAGACTGTAGTTTATTTTGTATTGAGATAAAATTCACTCCAGTGTGTAACATCCATGCAAAGCTCTATATAACGTGGGGGTTGAGTTTCAGTTTACATAAACATACAGGTGTTCCTGCTCCCTTCATAAATTGCTCCAGCTCTAGCACATGAAAGATTAAAGAAGATACTAAGCAGCCTTTTGGTCTATTTTGCATTCAAAGTAAGCAAGCTGAACTCCAATATTTGATTCCTAAATCCAACTGAATCTTTTGGTTGAGGGGTAAGGCTGCCCCACGCCAACTGAGTTATGTGGAAGTAGCCCATATCAGTGGTCACCTTCTAAAGACATGCCTGATGCCATGTGTAAGTTTCCTTTGTAGAGACAGCTCCTATTGAGTCAGGTTTCATAAACTGAGGTTTATGAAGCTGTCTAGAGAAACTGGGCAACTATTTTCTACTTACCAGACGAGACCTCAGAGATTCTGTTCTGCTGCATTAATACAAGCAGGTGATAAACTGTATTATCTACTGGCATTTTTGAGGGCTAGTGAATTGAGAAGACAAGGTGAAACTCAATCTGTACCTGCACAGCTCATTTTAAAAGATGACAGTTATGACAGGATTCTCAAATAACTGTATAACATCTGCAAACTTCATGATGTAATGAAAATTAGTTATTCTTTGGCAATTTACACTGCGCTTTTTAAACAAATGTTTTTCCTCTTCATAGGTAAACCTGGACTACTGATCTGCAAAATCACCCAGTATGCACCATTTAGTGGCTATGCAGGAGCAAAACAGCAAACAGAGAAGAAGCAATTAAGAGACGTCTTCCAAAAAGGAGATTTATATTTTAATAGCGGTGACCTTTTAGTGATTGACAATGATAACTTCATTTATTTCCATGACCGAACTGGAGACACATTCCGGTTAGTGTACTTATTTAAATGCTTGTCACAAGAGAAAATTCTGACTCATTCTCAGGTTTGAATTCATATCCAGTATTTCCTACTGAGTGACAAAGAGGAATTTCTCTGACTTCAGTCAGAAGAGAGGACTCCAAGTCACCTTCACTGTTGTATTTTATAAATTGTGTTCATAGTTACATACAGCGCCTACAAGAGGTTCAGCTTTGGGTGATGAATGAATGCTATTTTGAACAGTCAGAAACCAGTCACATTCATAGAACAAATACACTGTGGTTTCACATTCTCTGTACTTTTCAGACTCGGAAAGCATAGAGCCTAGGATGGAATCTAAGGTAAGTAATGTTTTGGGGTTTTGTTTGTTTAGAGCCATTTTAAGCGTGATTAAATGAAATGTCTTAAATTCTTCTGAGATTTGAATAATCTGGAATGCATTGTTGAATTTTGCAGCATGTTTTTCTCTACTTTTGATAACAAGTTCCTTGTTCTAATGCAAAAGTGCTCTCTGATCTCAAGCTCAGTGCTCAGCCCATTGTAAAGTCAGACATTAAAACACTGGAGATCACTATATGTAATATACATAGAAATCATGACTATTGACTGCTTATTTTCCAGGTGGAAAGGGGAAAACGTTTCTACAACAGAAGTTGCAGATGTTTTAGGACTGATTGACTGCATTCAAGAAGTTATTGTCTATGGAGTATCTGTTCCAGGTATGAGTGAAATACATGAAGTATTTCAACAAAATAAATTTTTAATACATTAACAAAATATCAATATATTGAACTTCAGAGGTAGCCCTACTTCAGCTTATTTTTCATAAGCTACATTTGATACATTCCATCATTTAAATGTATGCAATATTAATTAGCTAAAAAAAACATAGCCAAAGCTTATATTCATGTAGTACGGCAAGAATACTAAGAGAAGAATGGAAGAACATTTGAGATTAAGTATCTTGGATATCAACATTGTTGTATCTTTTACAGGAATAAAGCTCTGCAATTACTGTAGAGTGGGACAAACAAAATAGACTTGAATTTCTGGAAGAACAAGAACGTCACTTAAATTGATTCCTCCCTTTTCCCCCTTTCTTTAACAGTCTGAAGGAATGCAAGAAGTTCTGACATGTTTACTGCCTTTTTTCTACTCCTCAAAAATCTGTGAAATTTGAACTTTTTCTAAACTCTTTAAGTGCTTATGGCAGCTTTTTTTCCTTTTCTTTTTTTCTTTTTAATTTGAGAGGCACTGCTGCTAAAGGCAGATTCCTTGAGATATTGGAAGACAAAAGAGGGAACAGATAGCTTTACTCTTCTTTCTTGTCCCCTGTGTTTTGGACGCACCTTCCTGTCCATGTTTCTCACTTACCCAAGATTCGCAGGACTCCCATCTAGCTCCTCACTGAAGTTGGGTTGTGATGGACAGTTAACACGGGACCCTTTCTTACAGTGTAATGTAGGGATCTGAAATCAAACAAACAAGGTTAGATTTGATTGAAATCCCGAGTATTGCATTGCACAAGTGGTTTGGACTAGGTGGCATAATACGTTGCATGCCCTTAGAGTAGTCTAAGGAGGAGGAATTTTGGAGCCCCTATTAATTAACAGATATTAACAGGTATAACAGATTAATTATTGATTCATTAACAATATTAATTAACAGGTATCACACTTTTCCAGAAGGGCTTCCAGACTATGGTATATCATAACATGGGTCACATCGATGACAATTTAGTATTTTGGAATTGAAAGGTGTGTTGTGTTAGAGATGCCACTCTTCCTACATCCACCATTTCCTTCCACCGTTTATTCAACATGCGAGAGATTCTGTTAATGTTACCATCCACTCGCTATTTCCTCTACTAAAAGTGGAAGACATGAGAATAGAAATGCCCAGTGTTTCTGAGGCTAGAATAACAAGGCTGTTTATAAACCAAGATGATCTATTAGAATAGTGAATTCAATTAAAATAAATAAACTTTTTATTAGTCAATCTGCTACACCTGTTGATCTATAATTAAAGCCTCTCTCTTTAAATCACTCTTGTTTTCAGCTGCTTTGTGGTAGGGATAAACACACAGCTGCCCTAGGAGACATTTCAAAAGAAAGGTAACAACATAAACGGTCTAGAGTTCTTTATGTATTTCTCAGATTACACTCTAGGAAATGAGAAGGATATGCTCTTATTCTCAATGGTCTTGTAATACCACATAGAAGAGGTGTTAATAATTATGGAACAACTTTACGGAAAAAAAAATATTGTTCAAACCAGTTCTCACCTTACATTTGTGTAAGAACTGGGTGGACTGTGTATTTTTTTTTTCTGTTTTACATAGCACAGAAATATTTGTACTTTAGTAATGTAGCTCGTGGTGATAGCATACCTCACCTGAGAACTCATTAATGCAACATTCTAGATTTTGAATAAACAAATTGGAATGCCAGGTGTCATTAATACATGGTGTTAAAGGCAAACAGAAACAAGACTCAAAAGAAACTGAAGAATTAAATCTTAATTTAGCATATACTTGTGCTGTACTTTTCTTTAAGCATGGGATGCTACTTTCCGTTTTCACTTCCTTCTGTACACAATTCTGTGAAAGCATTCATCTGGTTCTAATGTAAACCTTTGTATAAGAGTATTATCTGTTTCTTCTTTTGTTACCTGTAATCCCAGAAAACAGAAGGAACGCCAAAAGGTTTGTGTTTAAATGGCATCCCATGCCTCAGCCACCAAAAGGGTGCTCTCGAAGCCCTCTCGGTATGTAGTTAAACAAGTAAAAAAATCTGAAGTACTTGGATTTTTGCAGCGCTTAATTAATTGTTCATATGGTAATAAACAATGGTAAACTGGGTCTTACTCCTTTTTGTCCTCTTTCTGCATGGATCAGCTTGTCAGCACAACAAGTACAGGCATATTTACCATGATTTATTGTAAAGTAAATTAACCCACAGAGTTAAATGCTGCTGCAGGCAGACTTCTGCCTCAGAGTACCGAGAACTGATTTTCCAAAGTCTTTCCAAAGACTTTCAGAAGAAGGATGATTTTCAAAATGTCTGCCATCTATAATTCTGATGCTAGGCTTTCAGGAGAGTTTGGCATCTACCATGCTGAAGCCTTAAGAAAATCTAATCGCTTAGATGTCTAAACGAAAATATGTTAGTATGTTTTCTAAATTGGCTTAGAAAGAAGGGTTCACTTACAGGAAAAAGAAAGAAGAAAAAAAAAAAGTTAGCCTGAAGCTCAAATTTATATATGAACTACAGTTATTTGCTGTCATTATTCCTTCAGGGTATGAAGGCAGAACAGGAATGGCATGTATTCGACTAAAGGAAAACTGTGAATTTAATGGAGAAAGTACTTACAGACATGTTAACACTCACCTTCCAAACTACGCAAGACCTCGTTTTATAAGGATTAAGGTAAACCAGCATTCCTAAGTAGCTTTTCTGTGTCTGTCTGCATTGTGTTTTCTCTCTTTTCTATAAGGACTATGGACTTCCTAGTTATACTAGCAATTCTCAAAAAGGCTTCTTTTGTCTCTCACTTGCTCTTGTCGTTTACGAATATGAAAGTAGAACTGTGCCCAGATGTTTCAGTTCAGCCTGAAAAAAACAAGTTGTCTGAGCAGCTGGAGGGTACCCAGCACATTTTAACATATAAAATCAGGAAGATCCCTTAGTGAAAAATGTATTTCCTGTTGGATTCCTTCAGCACAGTAACACAGCTGTGTTCTCAGGTTAGTGTAGCTCCCTCTACAGACTGTTATATACAAAATAAAGATCCCCACACAAACAGCAGCTTGCAAGAGAGCTGTCTTTTGCAAGAGAGGCCTTAGATTTTTATCCTACCAGTGAATAAATAGCCAAATTCTAAACTGATGTTTAACTTGAATTAGCAAAATGTTGCAAGAATGTCACTCTCACTGTACTTCTCAAGTTACTTATTTAAAATAAACATTGCTCCTTTGAGAAGGGTTGTGTATTCACTGAGATGATTCAAGAGGACTAACACAGGGATGCTAGCGTGCCTAATTACTTAATCAATCTTTAAACTTTTAAGTTATACAAACAGAACAGTTGACCAGTCAAGGTAGTGGTTTGCCTTGCCATCCCACGTAAAGTACGGTGAGCCTTGCCCAGTCTCCGACTGCCATTTTCTTTGCTCTTCTTTTCTGAGAAAAATTCTGCTGTTTTTTTGATCCAAGAACATAATTAAATAATTTTCTGGATAAAACCCATTATTGTCTCTGACTAAGAGCTGAAAACTAGTGTTTTCTTGCCTCATTTAAATAGAATCATAAAGTAAGCCTTTCGCTAATATTTCTGTGGCCCCAGCACTTCCTACATTCAGAGTAATTACTGGCCCACATATTCCACCGTTGAGTTACTATCGTCTGATGAATGCAGATAGTTTAGACCTCTGTTAGTAAGGCTTTGACTTCTGTGCTGTATGGATTTTCTTTAATTATGATTCCCTTTAATTTTAGGAAATCTAATCTAATTCCCACAATTATATGCTGACATTGATAAGTAGAGATGTAATTTTGTTTTGTAGAGTGCCATTGAACTTACAGCAACTTTTAAGTACCGTAAAGTACAACTAGTGGAGGAGGGTTTCAATCCAGCAGTCATCAAAGATCGCCTGTATTTCCTGGATGACAAAGAAAACCTGTATGTACAAATGACCCAGGACATTTATAACTCAGTAAAAAAACATCACTTCAAATTGTGAGCATTTAAAAAAAAAAAAAGTGTGTTTTATAATACTCAGTTTTTAAAGTATCTGTTATTCTAACCTTGCTAGGAAATCCTATTTATTAATATTAGCAAATATCAGTATCTGAAATAAAGTGTAAATGTGAGATTGTTTTAATAAAGCAGAACTTATCCAACTCTACTTGTATCTTAGCCTGGCTTCTCTTCTCCTTCATACTTTGAATCTTACCTGCCTTCCTGCTGTGTATGGATGGGTTGTTAATGCTGTAAATGTTAATATTGTGCACCTAAGCAGGTGAAAGTGGGTTCAATGTAAGACATCTTTATGCAAATACATTTATATTCATATTAAAGGGTGATCCACTGCATTAGTAAAAATTACATCCCTAAGTCAAAACTCAAAACTCATTAATAAGACCATTAGTGAAGTTTACAGTTGTCTCAAATTAACTAATCAAAAAAGTCTGTATTAGATGCTTACATTAACTTTTATCCATTGCAGCAGAGATGCCCTCTTATTTTTTATGCACCAAATAATACATACACAGAATGCGAACAATTCCTAAGAACTAAGACGTATTTTCCTTCGGGTGCAACTAGAGTAACGGCAGGCCAGATACTTCATAATAAAGTGTGGCTTAGATTTCCCTAGGATTTAAAAAGTGGCAAATAATACTACAGAGTGGAATAAAATAAATCTGTTCTTACTAGAAAGGGCTAGCAGGCTAAATTTTACTGCTCCTTGGAACACATGCCTCAGTATACCCCACTGTGAGTTTAGCTGACGTTGTAGAAAGTTATGGAAATTGTTCTGATTAACCAGACTCATTGTTTATATAACTTGAGAATAGTTGTACTGGGTCAGACTGAAGATCCATCTGGCAGAGTACACTGTCTTCAAGATGGGGTGATTGTAGATGTCTGGAAACAACTACCAAGAAGGCAGCAAGCATCTATCAGTGCTTTCCCAGAATAATCATAGAATCATCAAGGTTGGAAAAGACCCTTAAGATCATCGAGTCCAACCGTTAACCTATCGCTGCCAAGTCCATCTATACCATGTCCTCGAGCACCACATCTATCCATTCTTTAAATACCTCCAGGGATGGGGACTCAACCACTTCCCTGGGCAGCCTGGTCCAATGCTTGACCACCCTTTCGGTGAAGAAGTTTTTCCTGATATCCAACCTAAACTTCCCCTGGCACAGCTTGAGGCTGTTTCCTCTCATCCTATCACTCGTTACTTGGGAGAAGAGACCGACCCCCACCTCACTACAACCTCCTTTCAGGTAGTTGTAGAGAGCAATAAGGTCTTCCCTCAGCCTCCTCTTCTAGGAGAATAATCTCCTAGCGATCATCATGCCTCCTGACTCAACAGTAGTATCTCTGAATTTAAAGCTGCCCTCAATAGATTTTTCTCCCCCCAATTTTTGCAATTATTCTTGAAAAATCTGTAAAATCATTGGCTTCTTGTAGCAATAAGTTAGTTTGCTGCATAGAGACCCTTTCTTCTGTAAAGCCTCTTAGTTCTTCTGATATGGGAAAGGGTGAAGTATCATTCCTGGCCACAGGTGCTTAGCAAGGGCAACTGCTCTTGCAACATGGTGGTGTAAAGCCTCCTGTGCACTGTAACTGATTAGCACAGATGGAATGGCAGGGCTTGCTGTGTGTTTAAACTCGGGGAGTTTTAAAATTGCCCTAATACAGCAAAATCTCTTATAGAGAGGTTATCCTTCTTTTTGCACAGTTCAGAATTGATGTTAGCATTGTCTGCATACACAGATCCTCACAGCAGTCTAGAAAGTTTAAAATTGCTAATACAGCAAAATCTCTTAGAGAGGTTACATCCTTCTTTTTGCACAGTTCAGAATTGATGTTAGCATTGTCTGCATACACAGATCCTCACAGCAGTCTAGAAAATTTAAATCAAGGGATTAAAAAAAAAAAAAAAAAAAAGAAAATCAATGGTACAAATAGAGAGCCAAATTGTTTACCCCCTGCTGAGGCCAGCATATTTTGTCAAAGTGGTTCTAGCCTACCACCTAGAAACCATCCGTTACCAGGACTGAGAAGGCAGAAATTGGCATTTTCTTTACCACAGTCTACAAAACAGAGAGTTTTGTGTTATATGCCTACAAGATTTATTTGACATTTTAATCTATAAATACACAACACAAGATTCAGTAAAAGCACAGGAATTTTCTCAGTGGTCATTGCCACTGCTTACATATGGAACAAAATAACATGTAGTGTAGTATATGAATAAGCAAACTTTGGTTCTCTTTCTACCTGGAGAGGTCTTAAGGACCAATCTCTTGTACTTGTTAAACAATGGCTTGCAGAGGACAACAAGGCAGCTGAAGGCCACACTGAATGCTACACTCCGGAAAGCTTGGCACACTGTAGAACTTAATTAGTTTTTTGAAGGCACTTTTTTTGAGCATCATCACCTCTTCAGGCAGCCTGGAAAGAATTCTGGCATTTGCATGAGACTCCTTGTCAGTGGCTGCTGCTTTGGGGTTACATTGCTCAAGACCACCAGTCATTGGCACACTGTTGCAGCTAAGGGAACGTGCTGTCTTTTTCTTGCCTTGCACAGATAAATAACTGAATAAAAAAGAGGTTAACTTATGTTTGGTAACATTTTGGACATCTTCTGGAAAACAGTCATCTGGAGTATCCCCTTGACCTTTCACTTGTTGACTAATCACGCACATACTGGCACTCGCTTCTAGCTTCTTAGGCTGAACTACTATTTTTCTGGAAGGTGTTTTGTATTTTCCTCCATCTAGATAAAGCTGAGAAGCACTACTAATGGCATCAGAACTAGGCTTCACGATCATATTAGGGATTCTTGCCCCATCACCAGAATTGATGCAGTGCAACCCATAATTCTGGCTAACGATCTGAGCTGCAGTGTGTTGAATGATGTTCCAGTCTTGCAGAATATCTTCCCGGGTTGTGAACTGAGACGTTACAGTAAAGCGAATGATGAACTTGTCATGAATGGTTGCTGGAATAAGGAAGAGCCTGCCAGAACTGCTTAGTTCTTTCAGGAGTTTTTCTGTCAGCCAGTTGGGACCCTGTTTTAAATATGAAAAAGAAAAAAAAAATACTATTGTTAGAATTTCTAGTGACATCCAAACGTCTCTTAAGAATTCCAGTATGAGAAATTCTTACATGAAAGTTTATTCACAGTTCCTAATGCCTGGGGAGAGATCAGCTGTGGTCAATTAATTTGAAAGAGACACGCAGAAGGCCCAATCTTTACCTTTAAACGAAATACAACCAGTCCAAGATGTCTCTTGGCAGGAATTTCAAAGAGTGGATCACTTTTAACCAATGATTCAAAGAATTTGGCTGTTTCAGTACCCTATAATTAAGGAAAAAAAGTAGTTATGTATTGGTTTGTCACAAATCCACTGTAAGACACTAAATTAAGTAGTTAAAAAGAATTTCTTTCCTTACTAGAACACATCATTCCAATGCATGAATGGTAGCAAACAGAAGAATGACAACAAAGCTAAGAATTTTAAAGTCTGTCTGTTTGCCCAAACCCTTGACAATGAACAAGAGTAAGGACTACACATGGGAATTTTCTAGAAGAAGCTTTGACAACAGAACGTGCCTTCTCAGATTAGAGTCCTTTTGCGGCAACCGCTGATCCACAATATGATCCCTTGTATTTACACTCCATCAAAGACTTAAGCCTGTAGATTTTCATAGCAATGGCTTCAGCCATCCACCACAGCCTGCCTCCCAAACAGCTGCCGCTTTGCCTCAAAGAAGGCTTCTACAGACAGCACTCAGTAATGTGCAGAAGGCACCGACTTACCGACTCGCTTTCCATTGCCTATTGCTTCCAAGAAGGGTACAGGAAATGTTTTGTCTACACAGTCAATCTTTACAGATTACTTAAAGAGTAAAACGAGCACGCATTTAGCATTCCCATGCAAGCTTTGTGTGCGAGAGGATTTCTGTTACTCATCTTTGCATCACTGAATTTATTAAACTCAGCTACAAATAAATGAACGCAATACGTTTATGCTTGCATTGTTAATTCACATACATGTCGGACATGAGCTTGAAGCTTTTTCACCCCGAATGAACGAATCACAAACCACAGCTTCAAAGAACGAAATCGACGACTCAGTGGAATTTGCCAGTGCTGTGAAAACACAACAGTGTATCAACGAGTGCAAAAACAACAGAAAGGAGCCTCCCTTTACACCGCTAGGTCTGGTGCTTCAGACTCGGGTCAGGAATCTCTGTTGATGCAAATAATTTCATATTACTGAAAACCTGCTAAGCCTAGGAAATAGCCAAAGAAACGCTACGTCTACATATTTTTCAATTATTTCCAAAAATAAGATTTTGGCTATTCCCCGTAATCTATGGCCTAGATATGCTTAGAATGTTTAGTTAATTACCAGCTAATAACAAAACCTTTTTGCATTTAAAGAGCATTATCAATTTAAGATGTGTCCATTTACACTTTAGGACTGAACGCTCACTTCAGTTCCTGGAATGTGCATATTTAAGTACCATCCTGAATCTTTTCCCAAATCAACTATGAACAGCGAGAGCCGATATAGGGATAGACCCTTCCAGAGGAAGTAACACCTCTGCTGCATGGAAAAGAGTGACAAAACGTGTGAGGGCATACTTCTAGGGAGCTACACAAGTACACGCAGCGTCCTATTTAACCACAAGAGGGACTCATTGATATATTTCCCCCCTTCTCTAGTGAAAAGCACTATTGATTTCAAGAAAACAACTATCTTTTCAGGACTAGGGTGAGATCATAGCAGAAACAATTGGCAGTGAATATTCTTTTGTTTTACTGGACTGAAATCTGCTGTAAGATGGATCTAAAGTGAAATGCCTCTTAGCTCTCCTATGAATACCTTAATCTGAAGAAAAACGTAATTCATTCTACTACTGTTTCAGAGCATGGTGTTTCCATTGCTTACTCCTTTCTCTTTTCTATTCCATATCAGAAATACAAGAAAACCAGCCAAAATGCCATCAGTAGGAATTACTTCAGCAACACGATGCACAGAATGACCCTTCTAACTAAGGCGGCAACGCTGAATCCCCATCTGTGTAAAAATCTTCAGTACTTCAATCTCTATATCTGAAAGCAATTTTAGAATTAATTTTCATAACCAGGGCTCACTTCAAAGTTTTACTATTTAATCTGCATTAGGATCTCAGTATAATTGGTTTTATGCTTTTATGTTATAAGACCAGCTATAAGATAAGCACAGTCCAGAGTGTGAGGAATTTTGCATTCTGTTTGAACATTTTATAGGCAATTTAAAATATCAACTCAATCATGCCTCCTGACTCAACAGTAGTATCTCTGAATTTAAAGCTGCCCTCAATAGATTTTTCTCCCCCCAATTTTTGCAATTATTCTTGAAAAATCTGTAAAATCATTGGCTTCTTGTAGCAATAAGTTAGTTTGCTGCATAGAGACCCTTTCTTCTGTAAAGCCTCTTAGTTCTTCTGATATGGGAAAGGGTGAAGTATCATTCC